GCAGGAGGATAATAGAAGCGACTCCATAAAAGACGCCGTCTTCTCTTTTGGTTGTACTTTTTAAAGGCTTTACAAAAGAGAGAGGGGGGTGCAGGGATAAAGAAGGGGAAGTCGGCGTGTTGCTTAATGTATGAAAATAGATTGCAGCTCTCAGGAAGAGAACAAGAGAAGAAAATTTTTTGGCATCTTGGCGTGTGTGCTGCAGATAACCAGAAGGAAGGTTAAGCTGAGCTCAAAAATTGAAAATGTAACATGTGAGAGGCTCAGAAAGGAGTGCTACACAGAGAGGTGACACTGATTTTCACGACTCTCATTGGTGCAGCGCCTCGATACTTCACCACCTCGGCCTCATTCTTAAGGAAATGAAGCAGCTTTTAATTTTGTGATAAAGGCCAACCTCTCCTGGCACTTCCCTCCCTCTGCCAAGCACCGGTGGCTGCAGTAGCTCAAGTCAGGTCTGTTTATTCGTGCGGAGCATGAAACGCAACAAATGCTGTCTGAGATGCACAAAATCAGACAACAGTCCAAAGAAATTAAGCTATTAAGAAGTAATTAAAACAACAAATTAACCCAGTTAAAACAATTAAGACGCTATTTGCCAGTCGACAGGGGTCTTTAATATTGTAAACAAAAGATAAGCTTGAAGCTGGGACTAATCTGAGAGTAAAGGAGGTTTTTCAGGTGAGGGGGAAGCTGGAGTGACTGAAGACTGTTCTTCAGTCACTCCAGCTTCTTCTAGCCCATACCGCAGATAGTTCACTTTGAACGTAATAGAAATCTGAGTCACTCAGTCAGTGATTGAAGAAAGGAACAGTTTACGTTGACCTTGACCTGAAGTCTGTGACAGCAGATTTAACCTGCAGGTCTAATTTATGTCTTACACGTGGTTTTCAGCATGATGCCCAACTTTATCAAGTTGCACTTCCTGGTTTATTTTCAGGTTGACAGAGTTTTGTGAGAGCCAACCAGGGTTTTAATAGTTTTGCAATTTTCATTAGTTTTTATTTTTATTTAGTTTTGACTTCAGATTTTCAATTTTATATCAGTTTTAATTCGTTTTTACCAATTGTTTGCTAGTTTAGTTTAGTTTTTATTTTTTTGAAAATCCTTAGTTTCAGTTTAGTTTTGATTAGTTTCAGTTATAGTTTTAGTCGTGTTTGCAATAATTAAGTGCAACAAAATCCCAGTTTCATCACATCAGTCATGCTCTTCTGCTTATCCTTGGGTATGTTGCTATTCCAGCTACCATACCCTGCACCCTGCACAGGTCGCCTGTCTGTCGCAGGGCTAACACGCAGAGACAGACAACTCACATTCCCACCTATGGGTTCTTTAAATAAATAAATAAATAAATGAATAAATAAATAAATAAAGGCAGATGAACAACCATTGATACCAGGCAACTATAAAATGTATATCTTGGCCCCAATGAGACTATTAACTCTTGCAGCACCGGGTGTTCGTAATTTTGGTTCAAGTGAATTGATAAACTTTTTGAAGGCAGTTGACTCACACAGTTATGTCGATGTCCCCGTCCTGTTGTCTCGGGATGCATCACGCTGCCTTGCCTGGGGTTAGCTTCTGTTTCTGGGGATGAGGGTTGAGTGTGCTCCCTTCTTCAAGTGCACTTTAAGGTTTGTGGGATTTTTTTCCCTTTAGAAATGTCCCTCATATTTTGTCTCTTTCCACTACAAGACACTTGCTTTATCCAAAACACAGTCATATTCAAAGTAATCCCAAATTGGACTCTGGCGCTTTCTCCCGACTTTTCCTGACATGATTCTGCGCGTGGGCGGAGCAGCGACACAGACGACTCGACTAACGTGCTGCCACCTGCTGGCATAATGAGACAGCAAGAATAAATCTGGAAACTAAACTTCATTTTCACCCTCGACTATTGTAGGACACGCACACATCAATGAAACTAAACACATTTTTGCTATAAATTCAGTTAATTTTAGTTAGTTTTGTGAACACTCATTACAGTTTTAGTTAGTTTTCCTTTTTTTGTTTTTATTTTTATTTCCGTTAACGAAAATGTTTTTTCACTTCTAGTTTTTGTTATTTCGTTAGTTTTCGTTAACGATAATAACCTTGGAGCCAAGCACATTGAGGATATTCAGCCGGTTTAGAGAAGTCCTTCAGATGAAAATCAGACACAACAATAAGGTCCAAAACCAGCAGATACGCTATTATTATATTATTATATTGTTATATTAGATTAGTCTTCTTTAGGAGCGGATGGACTTTTTACTTCTCCCCTCTCAACTTGATTTATTTATTTCACGGTCCAGTTACGGAGGAAAGGGATATTCTAGTCTTACGTTGGGGGTTTCAGCTTAGTTAAAGCTAACAGGGAAATGAGCCCGCTGGCGTTCTTAAAGATATTATTGACAGATTTAATGGTGTTAATTATAACGATCTGCTTTGTTAAAAGCTTTCTAATTTCTGTTCATCTCATAGTTTGTGATGAACGACACAAGTCTGTCCAGAGAGGCGATATTTGTCCTGTCGCATGTGTGTAAGAAAGCTGCGAACCCTGTGTGGGGGTGACGTGTCTGCTGCAGTATGTTCTAATAAAGCCATTAATCACATTTGCTGTTTGCTGCAAACATGCAGCACTTGTTGCAACACGTCTCATTCTGTGTGTCCCAAGACAGCGCAGCAGATGCAGCTTACAAGTGTGAAATCAAAAATGTCCCAGTCAGGTGTTTGATGCATGTGCGTGCTTATTCTGCACAATCACACGTATGTATCGCGTGTACGGTTAGAAATGGAAAAGTCCCTGTTCAGACGGAGGAGCTGGAAACATTTCTCTCTGAGTGACACAGAAACATTGACTCCTGTATCTTTGTCACCACCGCCAAGAAAAGCAAGAGTCGTGCAAAACCGTCGTCAGGATGCGATCAGAAAGTTCTGCGATTCCACACATAAAAATCCAACTTCCAGTATTTTGGTTCTCATTAGCTCATTTCCTGGAAGTCCCATTCTGACCACTCATGCATCTGCAGTGTGCACTGAATTTCCTTTTTGGAACGAGGACATTCAGCAGATGTGGCATGTGTGAAACTTGGTGAGGAAGGTAGTGATGGTCCAGCCAAAAACCCCACAAAACAGTTCAGCTTGTCTGAAATGAGCCACCGCAGTGTGAAGTGTTTCCACTGAATGTGAGATGGAAACACGTCAGGATGAGATTTTTAATAAACTATGAAGAAATAAAAGCCACTAATAGACTTGTGTTGTTTAATATTTCAGAAGAAAGTTATCATATAACTTTTCTACATGTATATACATTTGACTCCACTTGTACTGCCTGATTAAGGACACAGCAAGAGTACAAATATCAGCTTAACGTAGTAACAGAAACTTGCTGTGTTTGAATCGTAACAATAAGTTTGACTCTCAGCATGTCTGATCTATTCATCTGACACAAGTAAAGAAAATGCAGTTTAATACCTTTAATAAGTTTCTAATGAATGTTGTGAGTCTGCGATCATTTCTTTTCTTATAGCATTGCTGTCTCTAATTCTTATACTTCGATTATTTTAACTGGAATCAGGACTGATGTCTGTTGATCTTCCTCAGATTTCTTCCGTTGTTTTCTCTTATTTGATTTGATAGTCTGGGGTCGGAGTGTGAATGCTGGGATGTTTGCTTATACAAATGAAACTGAATTGAAATGATTCATTTTTAGTTTAGCTGACAGCAAACTAAATGGTTAATTCCACCTTAAGTCTTAGTCTGGATTAATTCATTCTTAAAAGCTGAATTGATTAATTTGGAATGAAATAGATTCTTCTTTTTCGTTTGTGTCATTTTGAATGCAGTATCTGTATTTTACCGTCTTGGTTGAACCAAAATGCAATTTGAAGACATCCGTGTGTCTGACGTCTTCTTAATGACTGTTTTCTGTTCATCGAGTAGATCACAGTAGACACCAGGATAGAGCACAGAAGCATCATTCAAACCATACAAGTAAAAAACATCAGCTGACACAGAAACGTCAGTTTGTGAGCTTAAAATCACCTACATCTACACACCTACACGCCCCTATTTTTTCTCATGAAGCGAGCGTACTTGGACGTCTGAAAAGTATCTACCTCAGGTGGAGAGGTCAGGTGCTTCACAGCACACGGCGTGCTCCAGTCTCTACACTAACTAATGCGCTCTTATTTAGTCATCAATCCCCTCTAGCTGATGTCAGCCGGTTTTCCACGGTCATACATACACAATGAGAGATTGTCCATCATCTCATATAATGGTCCACTGGTACAACACTGATGGTTGATGGGAATTCAGCTGTAGTGAGCCTAATGTTCCCGCTCATAAGATTTCCTTCTGAAGCACGTGGAGTCGCCGCTGTTACTGAAGATGGCAGGACAGAAACTGCTAGACCACAGTGTGGCTGTTCTCGTGTTCAATTTTATTTCACAGTCACACTGACTCACTTTCTCTTTAATGTTTCTGCAAGCTAACAAACGCTGTGGTCTTTTAATTTTCCTCTGAATTGTAACGGCACACGTGATAAATACGCTTGTGTCAATGAAAAGGTTTAAAGGTAATAAACGTAAATGTATAGCTCAGCCTCGCTAAAGGCCAATTTATTACAAAGTAATAGAAATGTTAAAGCTTTTGAGAATCTCGTTTTTCTTTGTTACATTCACGTATGCATGTGCTCAGTGATTTTAGTGCCGTCTTTGCAGAATTCTATGCATCCTGTAATGAAATGTGCTCATTGGTCCTTCTTTTTTGCACCTGTCTCAATCACTCCTCTTTTCCCATCCTCACATAGCGTAAGCATGTCGTTACCCCTCAGCAGCCACACACACGCTTACATTTATCTCTGTTTCATCATCTCTGCTTTCTGTTTCTGACTCTTTTTCAGAATCTTTCATTTTCTCTGTTCTGCTCTCGTCACCATTTCTTTCATTTTTGACTAGAGTCCAAAAACCGTCGATTACCAGTAAATGTTTGTCTGCGTTTCTATCTCCCGATTATAGACCTGAACTTGCATTACTTCTGGAAGTGGAGCGCCTTTGAGGACTACCTCCTCTTCTGCTTCGGCTTCACCGTCGTGTGTGCAGTCATCACCCTGCTGCTGCTGGACTCTGTGGTGTTTGTGGAGACTTTGGGTTCGCTGGCCGTGATGTTCGAGGCCATGCTGGGCATCCCGCAGCTGCTGCAGAATTTCCATAATCGCTCCACAAAAGGCATGAGGTACAGTGTGCTCCAAGGTCAAACAGAGCTCTGCTCACTGCCCTCACACTGGCATACAGAGGCACAGTCAGACTTCACTCTTGTCAGGGAGTCTCAGCAGTGATTTATATTCTCATGAACACATTATGCTAATAAGGTCATTTATAGCTACTGAAGTCTCCATGAAAAGAAAATGGAGAGTCACATGCATCTTAATTTCACTAATGAAATCATTTTTTAAATATTTGAATTCTTTTAAGACAATAATTATAACAAAATTGTTTTAATTTATTTTATTTAACAATTCAAAGCCAAACAGAAAAATTCAAAACCTACAAATTAAAAAATTAATAATTTTTTCCCTACTAGTCTTAGGACTGTGAACTGCTTACTAACAGTATGTGTCAGCACAAAACTGTCTCATGGCTTTAAAAGGTTAATGCCAGCATCATGTTTGTGATGTATTGTTTGTAGTTGGACTTATCATGTTTGCTTTGTAAGAGTTTCAGATCAGATCATGCAAATGTGCTTTATTTTGGTTCGCAGCACACAAGTTTGTGAAAATTGTCCTGAATTTAGGGTAAAAAGAAGAAGCATGTGTTATTTTGTGTCCCACTTGGTTGTGATAGTTGCTGCTTAGGAGTGTAAATTTACTTGGAATGAGAGGCTTTTAAAAACAAGTGTGTAATCAGCGCTGGTGGATCACTCAAAGGTGTGAGGATCGTGCCCGAGCTCTGGCTGTGCGTTGTTGCTCTTCACCCTGCACGACATATTTCCAGTCTTCAAGAACACTAGTATTTGGATGAAAACAGATCTTAACTAAACCGACTGTCTGAGCTGAGGCAGAAGGAGAGTCCTGATACGCGATGTATAGCAGAATGTGTCTGCTTGTACAGAGAACTGTTGCCACGATCTGGAAGATTATCAAAAACTTATTGTCACTCAGCTGCCTCTCATTGATCCGAGTTACCATGCTTTCCATTATTTTAGTTAGTGGGCTACTTGCACCCTCTTCAACTTGCTGATTTGGGGATCTGCTAATTTGCGGTGCTCTCGGTAGAATGCTGGCATTATTGAAATGGACTGTCTGAGTCTTTGTAAATTAGCATATTGTTAGTAGATCATCTGCAGAACTTTTTACTCCCATCAGAGCATTTTTGTGATTGCAACCTCACTTAATTTGCTCCACTAATGAAATCTGGTCCTTAGTGTCCTACAACATCTGCAGAGCTGCACACTACAGCTTCTGATTAGTAAAGGTTTCAGTGAAAGATCAAAGATCTGTTTAACATATATACTCAGTTCCACTTGCACTTGTTGATTTCAGTTTGTGTGCCAGAGGCTGAAAATAGTGTCACAGTCTACAGCGTGGACCGGGACATCACTTTGATTCTTATTGCACGAAAGGACGAGAGCACGAAGTCGCATCACGGATAGAAACAACTGGGTTATGCTGCTAACACAACATGCTAATGCTAAGCTAGCCAAGACTGAGTGTCTGCTGATCCCAGCTCAGCAGCCAGACCCTGAACTTCAACATGAGCTCTCAGGCTCCAGGCTCTGCTTCTAGAATCACCGTGATGATCACATCAAACTCTCGCTGCGCTGGTTTTTATCTTTGCTTTCTGGTGTCAGCTTTGTCTTCATACCTCAATACTAAGAGAAAGATCATATGTGTGTCATTAGGGATTTGTGTTGTGTGTATCTGTAGCTTAAAGGTTTATATTGTTAAATGGTAATTTTGAGACAATGTGTTCAAGTCGTTTTCTGGAGAAATGGGAAAGTAATGAAATGAGATTTGTGATGAATTACTTTCTGTATTTGATATGTTGCCTAGCGATGGTGGTGACTCTCAAAGTGGAGCCAGTGAGAACCAATCAGATTGATTGTCTGCTATCCTGTCTTCCTTCTCTCGCCCCAACCAATCACAGCAGATGGCCCCGCCCCTCCCTGAGCCTGGTTCTGCCTGAGGTTTCTTCCTGTTAAAAGGGAGTTTTTCCTTCCCACTGTTGCCAAAGTGCTGCTCATAGGGGCTCATATGATTGTTGGGTTCTTCTCTGTATGTATTATTGTAGGGTCTACCTTATAATATAAAGCACCTTGAGGCAACTGTTGTTGTGATTTAGTGCTGTATAAATAAAATTGAATTGAATAAGCAATATCGATAATGGAACTGGAATCTCTAAATTCTATCAATTCACATCCCTAACAATGAAGAATTTAAAAATCTAATGTTGCTCTAATATTTAAAGTATATTGCAAGTAAAATGGATTCAGCTTTAGCATTAGTTTCTGTCAGATATCTAAAACGTCACAGAGAAAGCTAGCCTAGATGCTTTTAGTATGTGACCAGAGCAAATGCAGGTTTTCTTCAAAAGACTAAAACTAAATCAGTCTCGTGCCAAAATCGACTGTCTGTTTAAAAACAGGAAACACCAAAATATGAGTGACAGTTATTAGTATTAGCATTAACATTACCACTAATGAACAGGAGTCCACAGATCCCTTAGAAGATATAGTATAGAATTATTTTTAAAAGCGACATTTAAAAGGGATCCCTTAGGTTTGGGTCACCCCCCACTTAAAATTCAAGGTTTCAAGGTCACCTTGAATGAGAAGAGAAAGCAGAAGGTGGAAACGGGAGGCAAACAAAACCCTCAGCTTACATTATGAATGCTTTCCCAGTTAAGATTGTGTCAGAGTGAGGTAAGGTCAGTGAGCATGCTTATTAACCTCTCAGGTAAATGACTGTGAGATCAATTACACTCCTAATGGCACAGAACCTCATGCTAATTATGATCATTATTTCCTTATTATGTCTGTCATCAGTATAAAATCTGTGTTTATTAATATGCATTTATAAAAAAATACTTTTAATCTCTAGGAAACAACTGGCATCTTTTCATGAGGTTTTCAGGAAGTTACTGAAGTTGGTTAACATTCATACCAGGGGAGCGTGGTGAAGAAAGAAGAGCTAAAATTAGGAAATTACAGTGACGTCAGCTGGAAGTAGAAACTCTCCTCGGCACGGGGTTTGTTTTCCTTTAGTCGAGATTCCTTTTTGTAAAAATGCACAATGGATACATAATGTGTGTGTGTGTGTGTGGATATATAACGTGCGTACGTGTGTTCCTGTCTAGCTGTCTTTGTGAGGACCGAAATCTGCATTCTACTATACTTGTGAGAACCAACAGTCACTTGTGAGGACACACAACCCGGTCCTCAGAAATCTGAAGGCATTCAAAGTTGTCGCTGACTTCTTGGTATAAATTCATAAAAGGATCTCCTATTAGATGAACTTTGAAAGTGATTCTTAACCTGTGATTTTATAATTTTTCTAGAAAATAATATAAAATTGTGGTCTGAAATGCCAGTGATAAAATTATAAGATTTAATAATTCGCTCGGGCTTATTACTGAAAACCAGATCTATTTTAGTTTTAGAGTGTCTTGTTATTCTTGTGGGTTGTTCAATGTGTTGGGTAAAGTTCAAAGTCTCCATTATGTCCTTGAGTGTTTTTTCTGTCCTTTTCACAGTCCCAGTTGACATTAAAATCTCCCATTACAATTATTTCATTAGACTTATTATTTATAGTATGATATTTAAGTAATATCTGTAGTTGTTCATAAAAAATATTCTTTGCAGAAGGAGGGCGATATAAACAGATCAACGTAAATGACATTTCTGGGGAAAGAGTGATTTTAACAGAAATATGTTCTATTTCGACATCTATTGGTGAACTAAGTAAAGAGCAATCCAGGTGTTTTTTTACAGACACAAGTATTCCTCCTCCTCTTGTTCCAATTCTATCCCTTCTGAATACTGTGTACTCTGGAAAGACAACCGCAGACTCAGGAGAAGAACTTGTGAGCCAAGATTCAGAAATACCCAAAATGGAAATATTGGGATTGCTTAGAATACGTTCCAGTTGCTCATGCTTTGGTAACATACGAATGTTAATGTGTCCACATAGAAGCCCCTTTGGTTTATTTTTAGTGTCCCAGATTACTTTAGCCTGATTATATGTCTTGCAGATCTTTGTTCCTCTGTAACTTTTAATAGCAGGATTTCTTGTCCTTTTGTTGACAATGCTATGAGCATTTAATGATGAGAAACCCTTTACCGGAGACTGTAGTTTGGGTAGAGCAGGTGGGGGCCAAGGCAGCCGAGGTGGGGGCCCAGGCAGCTGAGGTGGAAGCCCAGGCAGCTGAGGTGGAGGCCCAGGCGGCCGAGATTGAAACCCAGGCAACTGAGGCGGAGGCCCAAGCAGCTGAGGTGGTAACCCAAACAGCAGAAGTGGAGGCCCGGACAACAGGGGCGTAAACACTATTAGCTGTAGATGTAGCCTTACTAACTGGGACGGTGGTTGGAGCACAGTTAGTTGAGGTGGAAAGCAATGCAGTGATAGCTGTGCCCATAGGCTAACTAGGCTAATTAGTTGTAGCCAGTCCAAATCACTGATGTTTGAATTAGGTCCAGGATTTAGTTCTATATCACCAGCCAAAAGTAGCATCAGAACAAGTTTCAGAATCTCCAGCCATAGTTGTGGTATATTTGATTGTTCATGTTTACCTGGGGGTGGTCTAGCATGACCAAAATCCAAGAATCTTGTGAACAAAAGATGTTGACTCCATTTGGCTGGGAAAGTGGTATAATTATCCAGCTTTCTTGGACATGTCGAACTCCACAGAAGATAAAAATGTATAAAAACAAAAAGACAAGTTGATGTCAAGATCCAGGGGTTTTTAGATGGTTTTTTGGCAAAAGCACAGGACCTGCCAAGCTGTGTGTCTGCACTCTAGCAGCCATCTTGAATCCTCTCTCTCTTGTAAATCCCTGTATAAAGAGCTAACATCTCCAACATGTCAGGAGTAGTTAGTCATTACAACAAGTGTTTGTGAACTAAAAATCAAGAATGTGGGATCCTGTGTGTCCGTGATTTGAACAGCCCAGCGCTGCTCCCGACACAGGGAAAACCAATCCTGCAGGGAGACCTACCTCGGCACCTGTGCAGGTGAAGC